GAGTTAATGCGATAGGGGAAAGGTAGCTAGCCACCACCTGGTGAGCTTGTGGGACTGGATGGCGGAAATGGAGGCGGAAGACTTAGCAAATCGAGAAACTGCTAAGATCCACAAGGGATAGGATTTTTTTCAGAGCCATGATCGTTCTTGTCTTTAAAGAACACGGCACATAGAAGATTTCTCTTGATACTATGTCTCCCCTACCAGGCCCAGAGATTGAACAGGGGGAACAAAAAATAATCTACTAGATTAAATAAAAGGTTCAGTTCGAAGTTTCCTGAAGAAAGCCTGAGGGTACAGCGACTGAAAGGTCGTGAAAATAGCAATAAAGATGAGGATAATAATATGAATGTAAACAAATGTAAATAATGATAAATCTCTAAATGGTAATGCTAATAATAGTCTTTTCTTATGTAGAAACATTCGGTATTCATTGATCAAATATCCCTGACTATTATCGGTTGAAATTTATAAAATCTTTTTAACTCTAAAGCAGCCCATTATATGTTTAGTTAACTTATCTCTAATAGTAAATTTGTTTTAACCGATCCATACACCGAGGTATTTAAAGTGTTTAGTGTTTACTAATTCCACATCCTGAATTTATATGATGGATTTGGAGTAATGCCATTACTACGTTCTTTCCAGTTCCAGGTCATAATTTAATGGTTTCTGTTATTTGGTACAGTTCTTTGTTTTTCATTTTGTAGGGCAAGTCCTCAAGTTTCGAAGAAAGATGGTCCTCTCTTAGACATATAGGCTCCATTTGCTCGAATCAATTTTAACCATTGATCTTAGAAAGCGACTGTTTTATATATTTCTGAACGAGTTTGGCGCCAAGTATGGCATCCATATGAAAGTCTCGATCTGACGAGGCTATTTAAGAACAGGATTTGAGTTTTCAGGTTAATGTTTTGATTTTGTAGCAGCTTGCAATGTTGGATGAAACTATCCCTAGCGCAGCCTATTCAATGTTCAGTTTCCTTATATCCTATACTAAATTTCTTATAACTTATCCATACACCGAAGTATTTGAAGTGTTTAGTATTTACTAAAATCAATCATTAATCATAAAGAGACGTGATTGTCCAAGCGAGTATCACGGATGGCACCTGACGAAGGAAGTATTTACTAATTCTACATCTTGATTATGATTCAGCGTAGGTGAATTACCATTCAGCGTAGGTGCTATGATTGCTTTCTTTCTAATAATGATGCCAAAATGCTCTAGTGAAATTTTCCAGACTGAACGAAATATCCTACAAAAAAATCTTAATTTATACGTAAATTTGAGGACATATAAAGTATTTTAAATGGCGCTAAATGCTAAAAAGATTACAGAATATAATTTATGGCTAATTGAATGACAAAATTGAGTAAAAAAGTTTGGGAACCATTGCCCTAGACACATCCACTGTTGCTACAGCTGAAATATATGGTGTGTTCCTACGATCCTATTAGGTTACAGTTGTTCTTTGTGGAATTTTCACTGGTTCGAGTCGGAGCAAATGTCAGTATTTTGAACGTGGATTTTCTAGGAAATGCAGGCTATTCTCACCTGATTCTTTGATACAAAGAAAAAAATCTTTCCGTGCACATTTCTCCCAGAGGAAATTAGGAGGTGCAAATAGATGTGTGGATAATGTAACGGATAACGGCGCGGAAATTGTGATTGGAGGACAGAGTTCAAAATCCGGTTTATTCTGTTGCATTCACTTTCGCACAAATGTCTATAAACAAGGTATGAATCTTCTCCCTATCCCCGATATGGATTAAATAGTAGGATAGACTAGTTTCTCTTGCCTTGGGTGGCTACCAGTTTAGGAGAAGGGCGTATCTGAATTCAAACCTAGCCTGAAGAGGGATGGGTTTCTTCTGATGCAATATTTATTTGCATAATATATACAAAATGTGGCACATGGTCAAAATAGGGAATGGGGACAGGCTGGTCTTCTGTTTCAACATTAAAATTAGCTAGCCACAATCACCGACCCAAACGAACCACAATCCTTACATCAAAACAAAGCATTCTTCCTTAACATTCTTACAACATCCACCATAATACCTCAATGTCTATATGAAGTCCTAACTAGTCCCCATGTGTACAATTCTTGTCTGGAGTGGGATAACAGCAATTTAAAATCTAAACTCAATATGTATTTATACTGTGAATAAAAACTATTTACAAGAAACTAAAAACAGTGTTAGTAAAACAATCCTTAATTGTGGAAGAAACATCAGTTAATTGGACGAAATCGACAGGAGACTTTAATAACATACAAAACTCATTCGTCCATATACCCCCCACAAACACACACACACATTCAAGCATAGTAATAAATACGAAAATCACACCCGAAACGAAAGGCGCCCTGCATTCACCAGAGAACTGAAGTCTCTACTCACCTAAATAGGGGAGGGAAGGGGAATTACATTAAAGAAGGGACGGAAACAAGAGGGGGGGTCAATGAACAGACATCCACTAGCTAAGTTAACTTAATGGAAGAAGCTAAAAGACAAAAAACAACCCAAAACTAATCTAATTTCGGGCGAGGTTGCCAATGTTCAATACAGCGCAATATCCTAATGCCTAACCGGCATCAAAGTGCCACTCCAAGTCAGCCCCTTTTACTCGTCACAAACGCGCAAGATTCACCCACCTTTTCCCAAATTCTGTTGAAGGGAGCAGCTGCTTTTTCGTCCTAATCTTGACTTTAAGCAGATGCTTAAAGTACAAGATCAGTTGGGAAGAAGTGAATTTCTCACCCCAATAGAATTCCACACATCACGACTCTCCTAGCACCTACTAAGCAAAAGAACATGTAGTGTTCAGCCCTTGTCAGCGGCGGTACTACATTACTACAGAAAGAACTGGCCTCGATAACAAAGAACTATCCGCGCAGCATGCGAACCATGATACCTTCAATAAACTTGTATAACGGGACTTCGAACTTGCAATGAAAGAAAGCGTGACCCAAGGTCTCCATATCCCATCACAGCGAACGCAGTTTGGAGATTTTGGAGACCGCCGAACAAAGCCTTTTGCCGACCTAGAGGGTTCTACAAATCAACAGCCAAATGAGTGATACTTCATCATTATTGAGGCATTTAAACCCGGGTGCCTACGGCCATATTGAACGAGCCTCCAGCTTCGTAAGACAAAGCTCGTCAATCAGATCATCTTGAACGGATCCCCTAACTAACACATATAATACCATTCGAGACAAGACCTGGACGTTGGAAAGATCATCTGATGTTTGGAAGAGAAATTTCAGAGCAATACAATATTCCTGCTACTACGGTTGCAGTACTTGTAGTATCACTGCGACCTTATTGGGTTCGGGGACACGTGATTATGAATATGACTGACGAGGTGGATTGCTTAATATTTTTACGTTTGGTACCCGCTGTTATCAGATTCAACTCATACGGGAATAAACAATGGTAACCTGGAAGATAATGGACAGATCTTCTTTCAAGTGTGGATCACAGATGCGAAAAATGTGGATCACAGATGCGAAAATTTAACTGAATAAAGACAGTTTGTTTATTCAAGAAATGACTTTATCAATTTTATTTATTTATTTATTTAACTTCTCTTTCTAAATTATTCCATCATTTCCTTAGATTTTCGGCTCCGTCTATTTACTACCCCCAAAAAAAAATTATACTGGTTTACTCAAACTATTTCGCCCATATTCCTTATTGTTGTCGTCACAACGTTTCAGCCGTTTTACTCTCCAGCCTTCTTCAGATGTGTGCCGTAGTTGGTAACCTCCCGAGAATTGCGAGCCAAACTCATTATTCAATCCACAGAAATCATAATTATGCTGTCCGGGTTCAGGGAGATAATTCTTGTGAAGTCGCTTGTCTCTCCTACTGAACCAAAATTTATTACTTTTTATACTATTCAACTCAAGGATTGATCTCTCGGCCGCCAGCTAACTAAATCCACTTAAACAATGCTTTTATCCTCCCAGACAATTTAATAGTGGAAGCCTGGATCTTTAAACCTAATGTCGATTATCTGTTTGTTAAACTTAAATATAGTTATTCTAATTAAATGATGGATATTTTTAGCTTTAGGCCTAATGTGTTTTCTTAATTAAAGGCTCCCATATTATGCCTATTTTTATACTAGGCTTACTGAGCGGGTTATGAGAGCATAGCATGTATGCTCATTTTTACAATGGTCTTATCTTCGTTTCCTATTCCTCTGGCAATGCAAGCTGTTAGTGACTCGACAATAGCATTGTGTGTTCTGTTTGAGTTCGCAGGGAACACCAGTGAAACTGTTGTTTGATTTCACAGGTAGAGAGAGATCATGCGTAACACAATTTACACGCCTTTACGGTTGCCGTGTTTCTTCGTATTGATAGTTTCTTTCAGTAATATAACAATTCCCTACTGTGCATAAATGAGCTGAAATTCAATTGGTTTCGCTCATTAGGTTTAAATCTTCTTCAGCATGCACAGAACAGCTCTCATTAAATTTTCTGCATGCAAACACAAACATCTAAATTATGGACAGCCTTGTAATATACATGAATAGATATACCAATGCAATGACTCTTGCAGCTTGTAAACTCCCCGTCTTATCACGTAGCCGCCGTTATTCGGTCGAAGACAGGATCTACATGTTATTTGGTAGTTGTCTAATTTATGGCATTTAATATACGTATCCCATTGTTTAATACTGCATATATCGATTCGTGTCAAGGTTGTTAAAAGGAGTAAGAGATTACTGTTAGAAGCCCCAGCTATAAGTTAAATAGTAGAGCCTGTTTCAGGAAAAACATTTTCTCAAAACATATTCAGTCGAAAAAAGAAAATTCTTACAATCCTCCAAATATGTTTCGGCTTTAAATAAACCCCAAAAGGGTTGATAAGCCGTAAAAACAAATCAATCATACTGCTAGTATGCATTATACCTATAAACAACATATGTTTTAAGAAACGCATGGACACAGAGACGCTATATAATTCCGAAGCAGGTTTACCTTCTTTGACGATTTCTTGCATTTTCTCAATTGAATTTCCGGGTATATGGCCTTCACCCATGCCACCAGAAATAATCAGCACATCATAAGAATCTGGAAACGAAAGGAAAAATAGATTTTAGGCGTTTACCTAATTATGCATCTCACAGATAACAGCGCATTAAAATTAAGGTGGAAGTTCTATTCAACATTTTTCAGAAAAAAAAACTCCTGCGTGGGTGCTTTCCTGAACACTATAATTTTAACCTCTTCGTCCAGTGTTAATCGCTACTTATCTTCTTAATCTACATTTCCTTCCACCTCCTCTTACATTTATATCATACAGCTCATTCAGTAACACTATCTAGGAGTGGCTCTTGAGCCTTGTACCGGGTGAACTCTAATAATAATAATGAACAGGAGTAGTAGCAGTGTATCATGACTGGGTGTCGAGATAGTTGTTTCTTTTAAGTTTAAAGAATGAAATAGACTTGGGAATCACATCCAATTACTTACAACCACTCCCCAATCAGCGGCCGTCAGAGTGGACTGGTTTACCAACCTGAAGATATTTCTAGCTCGGCTCTATCTGCAAGGTTATGCGTTGTTTCTGTCAAAAACTGTCACCATGTCACGCACATTTAATGACATCATATGATATTTTTATCCCAGCGTTACTTTCTTGGAGTGCTGATCTCTTTAATAACCATAATAACAATTGGTGCACTGAGGATAGTTCTAAAGACTTTCGCACAAAGATCTCTAATAGTCCTTGGAAATCCAAGGACTATTAGAGATCAGGCTGGAAACACTGAGATTTAAAGAGTTTAGCTATCACTTGATAACTATATCGCTACCACCGTTGGGCATTAGTGATACCCATTTTAATCCTGGTCTGTGCAGTTTTCAGTATTCCTCCAACTGATACAATCTCTCTATCAACTGAATCAATTGCTCGGTTTTGTTGCTAGGAAAGTTGGTTCAGTGTCTCGTGGTAGACAATTTTTCTCTCCATGAATATATCTTACATATCTATAAATCTACCATTCATCAATGCTTAGAATTTTGCTGTTACATATGTTCGGGTACTCCTGCTATATATCTAGAGTTCCTTGATAAAATCCAAAGAAGAATCAGCAATATTATTGGTCAGTCATTTTCCCACCACCGTAAAGCTACTTTCCTGCGATGTTTCAGTAAATACATACATGGTAATCGTTCGGATGAGCTCTTCGCAATGACACTTAAATACAGATTTAAAGCTTTTAGCCAAGGTCTTAGCCAACTTGGAGACCGTCCTCTCTCGTCTGATTGGCTCCGAACAAACTTATGCTGTGAAGGACAGGGCTATTCATATGATACGCTTGAACATCGAGCAAGTCGACAGTGAAGCCGCGCTGGTCAATTTAGATCAGTCCAAGGCATTCGATAGAGTGAGTCATCAATTTCTGGAGGCTGTCCTTTCGGCGGCCATTTTCGGGCCATGCTTTCGCACCTGTTCCGCTGACATGAAATAGAAAGATTATATTGAATCAATTGCTATGTTTGCTGCTAGGAAAGTTGGTTCAGTGTATCGTGCTAGACATTTTTTTCTCGCCAGAATCTATCTTCCACATTTATAAGTCTATCATCTGCCTATGCGTTGGATATTGACGTCACATTTGGTTCAGTTCTACTATATATTTAGAGATTCTTGATAAAATCCAAAGAATAATCTGCAATGTTATCGGTCCTGACCTGATATCTCAGCTTCAGTCAGTTTCCTATTGCTGCAACGTTGCTTCCTTGTCCATTTTTTTATAAATATTTTCATAATTGTTCTGATGAGCTTTCCTTTGTGGTACCTCAACTTTACGAATTTAAGCATCGTACTAGATTGGTAGTTAGGTCTCATCATTTTACAGTTGAAATTGTCATCCACATATATCTGTGTATCATCTTAAGATTATGCTCATCGATAAATTTTAGTAGGTATTCTAGTTCCTTTACCATTGTCACGTTGTATCTTCTATGTGCCATGTCACTTCAAGAGATCATGGCTCTCCACAACTTCCTATTTCTTGTGGTTCTTAGCCATTTTTCTACTTTTGCTAAGGTTCATAGGACCCGTTCTGCCATCCAATGACACGTAGCTCGTTGCCTACTCTTATCACTCTTGCCTTCAATATGGCCTTATGAGTGTTAATTTTTACAAGCCCTCTTTACGCGTTATATGTACAAGTAATTTCAGCTACCCTTTTTTATTCTGAGTAGAAGTGTTCTTTCTGTTACCATTTTCTTTAAAACTTCTTTGAACTTTAATTTTTTAAAAACTTTCTTGTATGTGCCACGTCCCTTCCGGACATAGATAGGCGATTATGGCTCTCCACAACTATCTCATAGGTAGTCTTTCTTCATTTGCTAAGGCTCCCACCCTAATTCCACCATCTTTTCACACAAGCTTGTCAAGTAAGTGGCTCAACTGTCTTCTCCAATTTCTCTTGCCATAATTATACCTTTCCAAGCCCTTCTTTCTCATTATTTGTCCAAGGAATTTCAGCTGTCTTTTGCTGATTTTGTGTGTAAATGTTCTTTCTGTTGCCATTTTCTTTAAGACTTCATTGCTGCTTACATGGTAGTCTCAGTATCCTTCTGTAGAACCACATTTCTGTTGACTCTAGTTTTCTTTTCAGCAGTGCGAAGATTGTTTATCTTTCACTACCATATAAAAGGATAGATAACACAGCAATCAAAAACTTTATTTTTAACGATTTTTTCCGTTTTTCAGCATCTTTCTTAGTTTTTGGAATGCTTCTTTCGCTAGTCTGTGATGTTCTCCGTATTTACCAGTAGAATCACGTTTGTTGCTTTAAGTATTTTCTTCAACTGTAAGGAGACCGACAAACATTCAATGCCATATAAGGGATTAGATATTATATAGTAGTTTAGCACTTTTTTCCTTGTTAATATACTAAGTTTACCAGAAAGTCCTGACTCAGGAAGTGGAAAGAAAACAACAAATCTTGATCTCTGGTGGAATTTCCAAAGAGTACAGCCTTCTGAGCTGGTTCTACACTGTCGCGCCATCAACGCTAAACTGTATTGTTAGCAACTAGACCTCGTGTACGACAAACTAAAGAAGGAGTATCTTGCTTTGGGCAATCAAAGTTGGGCTTTGTTTCAGCAAAACAATGCGAGGTCACACCTGCTAGATTGACTAAGAAGTTCAAACAGATGGATGGTGTTGAGATTCTTCCACATCCACCATTCAGTCCTGATGCTGATCCGAGTGACTATAGCCTATTCCGCTCAATGGCACACTTCATCTGCGATCAGCGATTCAACACTTTTGATGAAGTGAAAGAAGATTGTTTACAGTATTTTTTTTAATTCAAAGCCAGCGGACGGGTATCTGGGACAGATTCGGATGCTGGCTGATCGCTGGCAGAAGATCGTCAAGAAAGATGGACTTTATTTTGAAGAATAAATGTTGGTGTTGCTACATAAAATTTTCTTGTTTTCTTTCCGCTTTCTAAATGAGTCAGGACTTTCTGGCCAATCTAATATTTTCGTAATGAAAATGAAGAAATAGAAGGAACTGGAATGAACGTAACGAGAAAGATTAAAAGCCATTGACGATATTGTTTCACTCTAGTTTTTTTTTATGAATTGTCTTCAATTGTTCAAAATTGAGATGAATATAAACCAAAGATTTTTAAAAAAATGTCCAAATCAGTATACTTAAATTTAACATCTAAGGCCAGGTATCGGGTTACATAATAAGAGGCACGACTTATGCGGATATGTGGAGAAGATATCGGTTAACCCTAGACTTGAACAGTGCAGTGATCGGGGAAGCGACCTCTTGGGAGTCGATTCCACAAAGCAGTGGTTTGTGAAAAGAAGCTGCATGAGTGAAACTTACATCTTCCGCAGAGGAATACGAAGAGAATGAGAGGGTTTCGCTACAATGTGCCTAGAATGGCGGATCTTAGCCGTGAAGGTTAAAACTAATTGAACTATGGAGTGTAGTCCTCTGATCACTCGCCATAGAAATAACAGCGAGAGATGTAGCTATAATGGTAATGGCTGACCATGAACTGAAAAAAGGTAGGGGAACAGAGCACAAGATGAAGTAAAGGAAAGGAAAAAAAAATCATGTAATGAGAGATTTGAAATACAGGATGGTCCGAAAGTCTTGTCATCAGCAGGTAATATAATTTTCTATTTCAGATGGCTGCCACGAAAATGATGGTGATCATACAGACCTCGATGTGTGATAGAGAGAATAAAAAAAATGGTTAATGCGATCTAAATTATGGTTCACTTTTATTATACTTAACGTACTCCAAAAAGTTTTATTTTTTAAATATCTTTATTAACGTTTCATTGTTCTTTATCAAAGTACTGTACTTTTGTTTACTGTAAAATTAACGTTCTTTAGTTATGCGTAATAAGATATCGTTATATCATTATTGTCTTCTTTCCCAGTAAATATAATGACTATATAAAAATGTCGGTGTAATGGCGTCACTTAAAATAATCGCGATGGAGTAATGGTAAAAAAAAAGCGTTTACCGACTCTTGCAGTAGAGCAATTACTCACGAGCTAATGAGTTTAGTCCCCAACTTCATTATTTTAATCCTGTAAACACTAGTCTAGTCAAATAAACTTAAAATAAATAGGAATTTAACAATAACTAGATAAAAATGCAATCTGTATAAACTCATTTTATACAGTCAGTGGGAATAATGATTTCAATAGTTAAGCATTTTGAAGGATTCATATATTTTCAATGAAACGAAAAAAAATATGGGATGGATATTTATCTTTTGAGGAATGGTAAATGAATCTATAAGTATAATCCTACCACATGGAATGTCGGAATTATTGTCAAAATATTGGCATATAAATTTCGTGTACACGTTCCTCTTCACAGCTTCGTCGAGCATGCCCTCGGAAGGATCCAATGCATCAATATTCGTAAAACCAAACTTGGCCAACTAAAAGAAAAAAAAAAGAAAAGAATTAAAACATCTATTTTAGTGCAAAAAGCAACAATAGTACTAATGACGATAACCATGTTAGGGACACCTACTTGGAATGGAATGGCGTCTGACTTTACTGCGTTATCGTGTTTTATGATCAGCAGCTAGACTGTGCGATGTGGTCTTCAACGCGATTATCCACTTGACAGAAAAGAATTAAACAATAAATAGATGGAAAGTTTTGGGAACAAGTGACATCAAAATTGTACATCGAGCATTTCCGATCACAGACTTATATTAAACAAACACAGTTGGGATTAGTGTAGCTGAATTTTGCATCGCCCGGTAACGGGAACACTTCGGATATCGCCCGTTCGTGTTGCCAGCTGTGCGTCGTGATGTTAGGATTGGCAGAGATGTCGAAGACATGAGTGATTTTTTCGCACGACATCGAAAAAGTTGTCTTAAGTGTCACTTACCAACCTATCCATCAAAAAAAAAAAAAAAAAAAAACTCACTCCAAAAATCGTTACTGTGGCAACCGCACTACAGAGAACGCTGATGTTGCCATGCTAACGACTTTTCTTTAGCGTTTTCAGTTGCTTTTTGAAAATGCTCACGCGAAGCAGCTAATCGTCACATTGAATACAAACAAAAGTCGGCATCCATCTTGTTTTCACAAATTTAATTTTTACGTAATTTTTCAAATATTTTACATGAATCATTTCATCTAATTTTATATCGGGAATTATCAAGGGAAATATAGCGAAAACTAAAATCATAAAACTGAAATTGAAATTTGATTAAATTTAAAATTTATGTTTAAAATTAAAATGAAATAAATTAAATTTTGTTAAGTTTGACATGGTCCCATCATTTTGCAGTTGAAATGGCTAGATGTAACCGTAAGTTCTATGCTAACAGTTTCTTCAATCACACTTCTCCCATGTTAAAATCTCTACCGGCTTCTTGTTGCTTCACAGTCAACTCTGATCTTAAAAAGTTAAATGCAATATCTTCTGTTTTCTTAATTCGTGTTCTTTTATTGTTCTCTCTCATTAGTAATGTATTTCTTATCATATTCTCTAAAAATTAGTGACCTCTGTGTCTTATTGGCTTTATTGCCTTGCTTAGGGTAAAATGATTAAAAAAAACATTTTTGATCTTTCAAATGTCGAAACCTATCTGTCATACACTTGGCCAGTTATGGCAGATAGACTTTTTCGCAAGGAAGGAACATAATAGAAATTAACCCTTGTTCTCGAGAAATTTCATACGATTTGAATATTATAAAAAACTGGCCTCTTGTCCCAGAAGTCCACTTCCGGCAGCTACATCTAATATCCTTATAGATGATCGTTCCGATTTCTCGAAGTATTCCGCAAGGGCTTGAGTTGCAATCACGGGGCCACGATAGCGAGTCGGATTCAAATCCTGCAAGAAACAGACAACATTGCAATACATTAAAAGTACATGGAAGATAAAGCAAGAAAGAATGTGTTGACGAATTGATGCTTTCAAAAAAAAAAAAAGAATTTTTCTATAAATAAAAATTTACTTATCTATCTATTTAAAAAGATAAAAATAATTATATTTGTTACATTTATTTTTTTACGGTTTATCAACACTTTCTGAGTTATTTAAAATCAAAAACATATTTCGAATTTTAGGAGGCAATTTACATTAACCGGTATTCCCAAGTGGCCCCCATCTAAACACTAGCCACCCCGCAGTGTACAAGAGCCACGTACCGGCCACCCTGCGTCGCACAAGATCCACGTACCGGCCATCCTGCGTCGTACAAGAGCCACGTACCGGCTACCCTGCGTCGCACAAGAGCCACGTACCGGCGATCCTGCGTCGTACAAGAGCCACGTAACTGCCACCCTGCGGTGTACAAGAGCCACGTACTTCCTACGCTAGGTATGGTTGCTGTAATTTCCATAGCAAATATTTTATATAACGACTGGCTTCGACCCAATTTTGACTCGGCTTCTGAAATTTTCCTCTTGCGTTTCTTTTCTAGATTCTTTGTTTAAAAATATCTCTAGGCTACTTTAAGGGATTTCTATCTGCATCAGGGACCTCTTTTGTCGACAAATATTTGTACGAACTTTTCAAAACACTTTTTTTGTACGCTTTATGCTAGTTTTCTTTTATAAGAGCCTTTTTCTCATTAAGTTTTTAAATCTACATGTAAACTTGAGTTTCTGTCAACTATATTACAGCACCATTTTCATGTTCTTGACAAAAAAATCCATTAATTATAACGTAAAGTCAGTTTATTTGTATCATCTAAACTTCAATTATCACGATATATGAGCTTTGATTAAATGGCAATTACTACATTTTCAAAACTTAAACTAATTTAAAAGCTACCAAAAGTAAATTATTTGTCAGCTGAAAACGATCTTACTAAAAATAGTTACTTTCATCATTACTCAACTGAATTACATCAGAAATATATAATGAAAATATCCACCTCAAGCAAATGCTTTTTCTGTCGGCACGATTCAAAGGAAGAAAAAATGGTTGTGTTAAGTAATCTAGCTTGACAAGTGTCAACAACTGAACTCAGTAAAAAAAAGAGTGAAGTGTTAATAGGTTTTGCCGATTCCCGTGAAGCTCTGTGGTCAAAAGAGGTAAAATTGTTAAGGGATTATTTTAGCGAAACAACTTTATTCTCTTAAATATTCTACCACCGAAAAAAAGGGGAAGAGGAAAACAGTTTTGATTTATAACAAAATAAATGCCTTCAAACTCTCCGGAACTTTGGTCACAATAGAAGGAACAAAATGTCAAATATTTAATTTTTGGTCACAAATACCGTAAATTGTGGCGTACAAGTAGACCTCAAGATTTTTAGCTCAAAATCCTGAAAAGGCCTATATTAACTGTATCCCAACCCTCCAAAACTCTTACAGTAGGCTACCAATGACACAAAACTGTGATAAAAAAAAAATATTGTTTTGGCTTGATAACTAGATTGTACGCCTCAATTTACGGTAATAAAATATTTTGCCTAAATTTTTAAAGTAAAAAAGAAACGAACCACCTTCAGGGGAATAAAGAATAAACGTTAATAAACTCTTGAAATACTTTTAAAATGTTCTTTTTAGAACAACTCGTTCAATTAATTAAAAAAATAGCGGGAGACTTAACAGGGTAAACTTGTTGCGGGCCTGTATATGCGTTGTGAGATAAACACGTGTGTCACCTGAAATGCCCACAACAAACATGGCAGACACGGGATGAATCCACGTAAAGAAATGTAAAGAAACAACAAGAATCTCTATATATGTACATTGTACAAACATATGATAATGTTTTAACACTAAAAGGTTAAAAAAAAAAAGCAAAGACAATGTGTACAACAAATTAATATGGAAACTTTTGGGTTCAAAGTATCTGAAGTGAGTGAATGTGCGTGTACACACGTTATGAGTTTGCCGCATCCATCAATATTGTTCATGTGGTTCCCAAAAAGGGAAACGCGTTCTTCCGCAAGAAATTTACATGTTGCCGTATAAGTGGAAAAGTAAAAAGATGCTGCGAATAATTATCGCGGAGTATTTATATTCACTGAAAGTATCCCTTAGTAACGGTTTCGAAAACTAAGATAAGTTAACCTGACAATACATTAAAAAGAAAGGTATACATTTTAATTAGTTTTTATTTTTATTTAACCAAGGGAGCTAATCCACTAATAATCATATTGATGGATGCGACAAACTCATAACTTTTTGGCTTGTGAATAGGAAAAGGTTAAAAAAAAGAAATTTATGTACAGTATTTAAGATAAAAATTATTTAATTTTTAGCAATGAAAAATATTTTAATAATTCATATAAATTTTACCGTTAACACTACTATATAACTCATAACAATAACGAAATAGGGTGCTTCTAAAAAAAACTGTCCTTTGAATAAAATAAAAGTTCTGTGTGGGAGGTAACGCAACAACTCAACTGATGATAGCAGGTAGGAACAAAGAAACCGGTGTCGCACGTCCAACCTTCTCACGAGCCGAAAGCTCTCTGATCCGAAACAGCAAAACGAGCCTGCTTTATACAGCCGAGGACCGACCACGATTTGCATGCGAATGACGAGACAACGAGATTTCGCGTTAACTAACCGAGACCGCCCGGCATAAAATATGGGCGCCGCCATTTTGGTTCCTTTTTACCGTTGGGAGGACCATTTACTCAGTTTATTCTTGACCGTGTTAGACATTCATTTTGTCTATTGGAGTACCTTTTTGAACTGTCTTTACTTAGCTAAGTTTTGAATTATTTTTTAGTTTCTTTTTTTTGACTATTTTTTAAATTTTTGATTTTTCTAACGTTTCCTTTGTTAAAGTTTTGATTTTTCTAACGTTCTTTTTTTGACTATTTCTTAAATTTTTGATTTTTTTCATTTTCACTACCCATTTTTACTTTTATTTTTGCTATTAGTCCTTTATTATTTAACGTTTTGATTTTCGTTTACGTTTTCTTTTTCCTTTTTTAAATTTATTTTCTTCCCGTACCCACCTCTCGGAATTTCTCTGTTTATTTTTCGTCTTTTACGTTTCGTGTCCGACCTTTTTTTCCCCTCCTTTATTTATTACGTGTTAATTATTTCTTTGTCTTTCTTTTAAAACCCGTAAAGTTCGTTTCGTGTGTATAGTATTTGTTTTTAAATTTTGTGTTTATTTTGTAATTCCTGTCCTTTTTTTCCCTTGTTTAACGTTTTGTTTTTGGGTTGACCGTTTTTTAGCGGCAGCCATATTGTAAATTGTCACATTTTTAGTTTCGTATTTTATTTTGTATAGCGTTTTTTCTTTTTTTTTTCCGTTTATAACTTTTTGTTTTATTGTGTAATTTGTTGCTTGTTTGTCTCTCGTCCTTTTAATTATTTTTTTGTGAACTTTGTTCTCTTGTTCTCCTGTCTTACGTCCATTTAATTTTACGTTTTATCTGTTTAAATTTGTTTTGCTTTTAGGCAAAACTTGTTTATTTTTTTTTGTCTTTTTTTTACGTCCTTCTATTTTTTTTGTCTGTCGACCTTTAATTGTTAATTAAATTTGTTGTCTCGCTGTTAAGCGAAACTTTTTTTACATTTTACCCCCACAAGGTTTTTTGTTTTTTTATTTTATTTTTTTTCCTATCGCACCTCCCCTTCCATTTTCTCGTACCGCCCCTCCCCTTCTATTTTTTTTCGTATCTCCCCTTCCATTTTCGCGTACCACCCCTCCCCTTCCCTTTCCTCTTTTGAAAATGGAAAAAAAATCAAGAACAACGCCTTCTTTTTTAATTAAAAAAAAGCTAATAATAATTCGGATTTTAAAAAATCCACAAAAAGCATTTGTTTTCGATAAAAAAATACCACCAGATAAAATGATACAAATGAGTACCCTTTTTGGTTCCATCTAATGAAGAAATGGTGGATACTCTAAAAAAAGCAGCAGCAGCATCTTTAGAGGAAAAAAAGAAAGAAAATATGGAAACCAAGGAATCCAATAAGGACCAATGCAACGTCGAAGAAAATAAGAATGCAGAAGCCGGGGAATTGCCTTCTTGTTGGTCGTCCCCACCGAGTTGTGTGATCAATGTTGCGGAGTTCTTGGAGAGGGCCAAGAGTTACGCTCACCTTGTCGTGGAAGGTGGACTCTTGGAAGACGCCCAGGAATTACGAAAAATTGAGAAAAGAATTGTCGGTCTTTGTCGTGGACAAGCGCTCGCGCAAAATTTGTCGCTCGACAAAAGACACAGTGTTAAAATCACTGGAGTCCTTGGGGTTTAAGCCCCTCAGAATTGTGAAGGGAGCGAGATATTTCATGTGGGACGTATTGCTACCCACGCCGGAAGACTGTGTCGCCGTTTCAAGTCGGGACTTGATAACGAAAGATCTAATACTGCGCACAGAATATGAAGGGCGAAGAAGGACCAGGGTGGCAATATACGAGGTCCCTCCTCAGGTTATCGGAGAGCACCTGGCTGCGTTCCTTTCGCAGTATGGCGAGATCTTGGGTGCTACTTGCGATAGCCTGAAAGGGGGGTGGAGTTTCGAAATTATGTTAAACGAACAGGCCTTCCGCTCCATCCCCAACTGTCTGGTAGTAGGGTGCCTGAAACTGCCGGTCATTGTGACCGGCCGCAAACCGGTATGTTGGAAGTGTGGAGAGACTGGTCACCTCTCCTCTTCCTGCCCAGAGAGGAAGGCCTCTGGAGTTCAGGCGCCAGTTGACCAAGATCCCCTCTGACCGCGTCGTTACCTTCCGCCTCGCCTGTAATGGGCATGCCAGCTTCCGGGGACGGTTCGGAAAATCCACCGGTTGGCACAAAGGCCACATTACCCAAAGAGCCTTCTCCCGCTGCTAGTGCAGTTGTGGAGAAGGGGAGGGGAATGGCTGGTTGCTGGTAAGGCCAGAGGAAGTGCCAGACAGCGGGACCT